ACATACCAAGATCCAGGTCTACAGAGCCTGTGTCCTGAGTACACTCCTGTACTGCAGTGAGTCCTGGACCCTTTGTGCACGGCAGGAGAGGAAGCTGAACACCTTCCATATGCGTTGCCTCCGACGGATTTTTGGTATCACCTGGCAGGACAAAGTTCCAAACAGAGTAGTCCTAGAACGAGCCAGAATCTTCAGCATTGACACATTACTGAAACAGCGACGTCTGCATTGGCTTGGGCACGTTGTGAGAATGGCTGATGGTCAGATTCCAAAGGATCTCCTGTATGGAGAATTAGTGCAGGGAAATCGCCCCAGAGGGAGACCACGACTGCGATACAAGGATATCTGCAAGCGAGATCTGAAGGCCTTAGGAATGGACCTCAACAGATGGGAAACCCTGACATCTGAGCATTCAGCCTGGAGGCAGGCACTGTATCACGGCCTCTCCCAATTTGAAGAGACCCTTATCCAGCAGGCTGAGGAGAAGAGGAAGTCACAAAAGCAGCAAAAGCAGGGAGCTGGACAGGGGTCAGATTGGATTTGGCTTCAGTGTGGAAGAGATTGTCACTCTCGAATTGGCCTTCGCAGCCACACTAGACGCTGTTCCAAGTCCTCCATACAGAGCACGTTACCATAGTCTTTCGAGACTGAAGGATGCCTAACCTACCGATCATCGCAATGCGATATTTTCCCTATTAAAACATCGCAATGTGATCACAAAAGCGATCGCAAAATCCGCATCACTATGCTGATTCGACGTTAAATGGGACGCTCGTTATGTGAGGCACCACTGTATGTATTTTTATATACGGTACCAAATTTCACATGGGACCAATTCGAGAACATAATGCTGTCTCTAAGCACAGTCATCAGTGTTCCACTGTTAATCCTCTGTTGAAGTATAATTTGACAAAGTACAATTTTCTACTGCTTGTTCATCCGTTCTGTACAGTTATGTTTATGACCAATGCATGTTGCTGTTATTATTATCGTATTAATTTCTAATAGAACTCTTGTTTTTGTCTCTTTTATATTTTTTTTTCTATGATAACCTTTTGGAAAGTTTACGTTCAATACATCTTTCTATGTTTTGCACTTTCTTCCCTTTTTTCTCCCCCAAAATCCTTGTGCAGTTTTACCATATCCAGTAAATGTTGTGTGCTTGTTTTGGCACTTTCAACACTTTAAAAGTTTTAAATTATATTTTGTGCCTGATCTTTTGATTGTTTTAATCTGACAGGAAATAACAGAAGAGCAAAGGGAAGGAGACTTTGCAAAATTTGATCTCTCCAAAGCAACCATTGATCTTCTCAAAGGTATAGTTTTTATTAGTAAAATATCTACAGTAGAACTCTTTCTTCCCCACTTTTTTAAAAAAATGCAGTCTTCATTTGGCAATGGTATCTCCAGCATCAAGTGCGACAGAAAGTGAGTTTTTATAAAGTACAAAATGGTTTGTGTATGTTAACTCTACAAGTATGCCAATGAATTACAACTTGATTGTGACTATACAGAAAAGAGCTTTCAGAATTACAGTGGAAAGCTGATTGATGCCAACAGAAAATAAGTTAGCATAATCTATGTAAAATAATTCAATATGAAAGCATGCATCTGATCAAAATGCCCAGGAAAATAGCTGAACTAGGAAGGTTTTATATGGTATGACGCTCATTGCTAGATCATTTTGACAAATCATCTTAAAACCAGAGTTTCCATTCAAGCATTTCCAAGCTGTTCTTCTGTTTGTAACTTGGATATTCTTATGTGAGTTTGTCTTTGTTGATAAGTACTTATTCATTCATTCATTCTATTTATATCCCGCCTATTTGGTCAATACGACCACTCTAGGCAAACTGAATTTCCTGCTGTACATTCTTTTTATAGATGACTGAAAAATTCTGAGTCATTCCATGAGGTTGACTGGCTAGAAATCTGGATGATTAGATTTTCTGTAGGACTGGGAAGAAGGAGGGAAATATCTTCACAAAATTATTAAAATATGGAATTTGGACTGCAACCCTCTACATTCCTTACCCTTGGCTGTGTTGTTGTAGCCAGGGTTGTTGGGAATTGCAGTCTAATAACAACTGAAGGGCTTTACTTTGCCCATCAGTTACAATATCACATTGCCTTTAAGGCCAGATTGTACCAATTAGATGGCTCTCTTATTGGTGGCTGTGAGATTTGATAATTCAGTGGAATACTGTTATCAGAGGCAACAGACTGCCAGTTAGTAAACTATGGAGACAATTAGATGATGATGAAGTCATGCTGTTTTGTGAATAGCTCAGCTATCTGGCTGACAGTGAAGTCTTACGCTAGATTGGACGCAGGTTTCTTTGGTTCTCCAAGTCAGTCAGTAGTATAATTGGTGGAAATACATCTAAGGTCACATGTAAATAAAAAAAACTTGAGTTAATTGTTAGGGATGGGATTTGGTGATATTTTGAATTACAGATCCCATCGTTTTCTTTCTGGAAGTTCTGTGGATTTGTAAACCCCCCCCCCAAAAAAAATTCCCATTCTTATTTAATTGCTATGAATTTATATAACAAGTGTTTTACGATAAAAGTGTATGTTTTTCTATAGCTCGTGGAGTTAACTACCTATTTCCAGTACAAGCAAAGACTTTCAAACCTGTATACGATGGCAAAGATGTAATTGCTCAAGCTCGGACCGGAACTGGGAAAACATTTTCATTTGCCATTCCATTAATCGAAAAACTTCAGAGGGATCCTCAGGAAAGAACAAGAGGCAGAGCACCAAAGGTAATGCAGTTGCTACAAGGACTGTAAAACCTCACAAGACAGTTACATTTTTCAGAACTATCATAAATAAGTTGTTCATCTGTATGATCACTAGGTATGGGATTTTCAGAATGCATGGACTACAGCCCCCAGAAGTGTGCAGGAATTCCCCCAGCCAGATAACCTTGTTGCCTTAATCAAGAAATCAAAGTTATGAGAGGTCTTTTCAAGTGCTTAAGTTAATGAATTCAAACTTGGCAGCCACTTTTGTTCTGTGGAGAAGACAAGCAAAGTGGTAGGCAGGGATTTGCTCTGTGGATTTGCAAGGGATTGCAGATGTAGTAGTCTCTGCACAGGAAGCTTAAACAGGCAAACAAAACAACCTACCAGACCATGGTAGGTTGAATCCTGTTTAATGCGTTCCAATGGGGAAGAATCGTCGTTGTGTAGCGAAGATCGGCCATACGAAAGCCACTTTCCGAACTGCCGACCAGCTGTTTAAATAGCTGTCTTGCGAAGTTTAGATCCCGAAAACACCTGTTTTGCGAGTGCAGAGGGAGCTGTCAAAATCGTTGTCTAGTGAAAATCGGTTTGTGAAGCAGGGACCAAACGTCCAGCGAAATTCCCCCATAGGAATCATTGTTTTGCGAATCGCTGTAGCGATCGCGAAAAGTCAATGTCTAGTGAAAAAACTGTCATGCGGGGTAACTAGCGAGGCACCACTCTAGTTGCCTGCTTCAAGAGCGAAACTGGTTCTAGTGGCTAGTGACTGAAAGTGATCTGAAAAACCAAGCTGTTTTGGCTATACCACAGTGATGGTGAAAGACATTTTAGCATAATGGCTGGAGAATTCATGCAGTGAATACTGACTTTCTTATGTGTACAGTATCTACTTTTGTCTTTGCAATGGTTTTTTGTTCAGATTGTTCAGAATGACTTACATTTTTAAACCCTCTTTCAAACCCTTTTTTAAACTAAACAAGATATTTTGAGAATGTGCTTGCAAGCTGTATGTTCAGTTTTTGCATGCAATATTGTTTATATTAGAACCACACAATCGGAGAATTGTGGAATTTTGTTCATGGTTATTTAGTAGTGTATATAACTGACTGGATAGCTCAGTAATTTAGATACCTGGCTGCAAAGCCAGAGATTGGGAGTTTGATTCCCACTGTGCCTCCCACGAAGTAGGGCCAACTTGTGTGACCTTGGGCAAGCGGCACAGCCCCGGGTGCCCTCAGAAGAAGGGAATTGGAAAGCACTTCTGAGTATTCTGAACCTGGAAAACCCTGAAAAGGATTGCCATAAGTCAGAATTTACTTGATGGCTCATAATGATGATGACTAAGAGTGTATTGTATGGTCTAATGTAAATGTTTTATGAAAAGACTGAACATGGAGAGAAAAATAGTTCTAGCAATTAGTTAATTTTAGTAACAGTAACTGAATTTTTATCTGATTATTTTTTAATTGTCTAGGTGCTAGTTCTTGCTCCAACCAGAGAGCTGGCAATGCAGGTAGCCAGAGATTTTAAAGATGTAACAAAGAAATTAACTGTGGCTTGCTTCTACGGAGGAACAGCATATAACAACCAAGGTAAGAGATATTAGTGGCTGCTTTGTTAGGAGTGGTAACACATTTAAGAATTAAAGCCTCTTGTTTTTGCAGATTCCTACTGCAAAGCTTTGGACATTGAAAAAAGGCAATTAAAATACGAAGACTACTTTTACTTTTGATTGTGTGGTGTGTGACTGTGGATGAAAGAGAAATGATAGCATTAGTAGGATGGTGGAATGGTCTTAAAATAACACTTGTTCACTTTATATAGTGGTAACACATTTAAGAATTAAAGCCTCTTGTTTTTGCAGATTCCTACTGCAAAGCTTTGGACATTGAAAAAAGGCAATTAAAATACGAAGACTACTTTTACTTTTGATTGTGTGGTGTGTGACTGTGGATGAAAGAGAAATGATAGCATTAGTAGGATGGTGGAATGGTCTTAAAATAACACTTGTTCAGTTTATATCAGTGGTCCCCAACCTTTTTGGGACCGCAGACTGGTTGGGGAGGCAGGTTCCATGTGCGGGGGGGGGAGCCTGGGCACCCCTGCACTCGTGGGGGTGGGGTTTGCACTCGCGCCCCAGCTTTCTCGTGCGACACGCCCCTGCATGAGTGCAGCACCTCCTGTGAAGATGACACCCCTGTGCAAGCGCGACACACCTACCGTGCCTGCAGGCCGGAAGGGCGGAGATCCATCTCCACGGCCCAGTTCCAGCAAGCCCATGGACTGGCACTGGGCTGCAGACCGGGGGTTGGAGACCCCTGCTTTATTGTACAGCTTTTTTTTTTTTAAAGGGCTGGTTTGAGTTAAAATTCAAATCTCTGTTGCTGTTTGAATTCAGCAGAACTACTGCAGTATTTTACATCCACACCACTTAAAATACAGTATCCAGCAGTTTAATATGTAAATGTTAACTTCTTTTTCAGTTGATTTAATTCGAAATGGCATTGACATACTAGTTGGGACACCAGGACGAATAAAAGATCACCTTCAGAATAACAAGTTGAACCTTTCCAACCTGAAGCATGTTGTCCTGGATGAAGTTGATTCAATGTTGGACATGGGTTTTGCTGAACAAGTGGAGGAAATCCTAGCATACTCTTATAAAAAAGGTAGGTACATAATATGTGCTGTTTTTTTCTGGAGCCATAGAGGTCTTACTGATCCATTTGATTTAGAAGTACTTTACTGTAGGGTGTCTGATTGAACCACAGGATCTTACAATTTAGGCTAATCTCTTCTGTAACCTGAGTTATAATGTCCTGTGGTTCAGCCTGTGAGTCAGTTTGTAAAAGCCAGTTGGTTCTTTCTAACTGGTTATACAGCAGAAGATTTTAATTGAGCACAGTGAAAATCATGTCTAAAGAAATGGGCTGTATGCATCTTTGACTCAGAAATTTGTTTAATAATTAGTGCCCATGGTGCATATGGCACATTATAAAATGTTAATTTTATATATAGAAATATCTTTTGTATATTTCTTGTAATGTAGAATGCAGGTTTGAAAAGATCAGGTCTTGCAAAGGGTATCTCAGAAGATTTAGTGGCTGAAGTCCTGTTGCACTTGGCGTAGTAAAAAGTTATGTCTGCGAACATTCTCAGGCTGTCCGTGTGAATGCCTGATTGCACAATTGGTTGTGCAACTAACTGCACTTGTGGTACTACTTGCTAGATATGACTTGGAAATGGAAATAGTTTGAATTACTGTAACTTTGTGTAACACAACATGTATTTGTGTTTAAGATTCTGAAAACAATCCCCAGACGTTACTCTTTTCTGCAACTTGTCCACCTTGGGTGTTCAACGTAGCAAAGAAATACATGAAATCCAAATATGAGCAAATAGATCTTATTGGAAAGAGAGCTCAGAAAACTGCTACAACTGTAGAAGTAAGTAGCTTTCTAATACAACAGTATTTATGTTGTATGCTTGTGATAGTCATAACATTTGCATGTCTAAAATTTTTCAGTAAAGATAGTGCTTGAAACTTTTCTGTTCTTCACTAAGCAACATAATTTGTTTTCTGGCAGCATTTAGCTATTGAATGCCACTGGTCCCAGAGAGCTGGAGTCATTGGAGATATTATTCAAGTGTACAGTGGTAGTCATGGACGGACCATCATCTTCTGTGAAACAAAAAAAGAAGCAAATGAACTGGCTTTGAATGCTTCAATAAAACAGGTTAAGTGACCTAAAATCTGAAGGAAATGTATCAGTATTTAACTTCAGTTGACTGTAGAGTGCCCAGGGAAGGATTGATAAAAGGGAAAGCATGAGATAGTAAAGTATGGGCTAATCTCAATGTCTTTTCTTATTTTAGAGTGCTTTTGAATTCATGAAAGCAGGCATACATTATCCTTTTTTTTGTACAGTGGCAGTAGGTCTTGACTGATTCACTTTGCGTTTTTGAACATAACCTTTGTGTATCAGATGTTCTTTTAAAAATTATCTGTAGTTCATTGTTTCTCGTTTGTTGGCCTTCTCATATGTTCCTTTCCAATTATACTTCGGAACAAGAATACAGTAATTTTAATTCCTTTTATACCCAGTTCATAAAGGACCACTCAGTACATGTGTTTATAAATCATCATTTGCCCACCAATCCAATTTACGTTTGTTTCCAGACTTCTGTGTACCATTGAAGTGAAACAGACAGGTTGATGACTTATTCAAGTACATCTTCATTTTCCTTTGATGTAATCCAATAGATTTCAATGAAGTTCCTGTCCATGTAGAATAGCATTAGTGAGCACAGAATCCCATATATCCTGCTTGCTGTTAAATAACATTTCAACTGCTGCACTCTGCAGAATATGCTGTTTTTTTTCTGAATTCATTTAGAATGTCTTCCATGCAAGTTTGGAAGAAAAACATCAGTAGAATGTGTTTTGGCAGTAGTATTTTTCACAAAAATAGGAAAAATAAGTCTGTTCCTGGTTGATATAGATACAGCTGGGGCATCCAGAATATTTTAGTACTATTGTAACTTGTCTCTATTCATTTTGGAAGTTTTGTTTGTAATGTTTAACTGTTTTATGTATTTAGGATGCACAGTCATTACATGGTGACATTCCTCAACAGCAAAGAGAAGTGACACTGAAAGGCTTTCGTAATGGAGCCTTTGAAGTTCTAGTTGCAACCAATGTAGCTGCCCGAGGTCTTGACATTCCAGAGGTTGATCTGGTAATACAAAACTCTCCACCAAAGGTAAACCACACATTTTGGAAGGGAAGGAGAAGACAACATTTCATTTTTATAATTGCAGGTTAAGAGCTGGTTACTTAATTTAATACTGTTTGCTTGAAATGACACAGGAGGCAGTTCTCAAGTTCATCACACAAAAAACCCTCACCAGTTGAAAGATGTTTAGGAATTCCATCTGGGTTGCCTCACCCATCCTTTTATGTAAAAAGTTGCCTTTCTTTGAACAGACTTGCAAAATCAGTTCTTTGTTTAAGAGCTTTTCTATTGTAACCTTGATCTTTAATTGCCAGTGTATGGTGAAATACATGGAACCTGCTCTGATGAATAGACACAGCATGTATCAACGTTGGGACGTACATTGGCTTTTCGACCTTATGTGGTACCTGATGATGGTTCAGTAGCCTTTGAAGCAATTTTTAAATCTTCCTGCCACACAGATTGCTACTTTCTGCCTGACATAAGTGATTGGGGATGTATAAATGGTTTCCTAAATTATTTTGCGTTTCAGTGTATGCAAACTTTAGGTTTCTTTTTCTTAACATGCTGGGAAAGCAATGTAACTTTCTGTTGAATTTTTATTTATCAAGGATGTAGAGTCGTATATTCACCGCTCGGGACGAACAGGCCGAGCTGGAAGAGCTGGAATATGTATTTGTTTGTATCAGCGCAAGGAAGATCATCAGCTGAGACAAGTAGAACAAAAAGCAGTAAGTATTCCTGGGTTTTGTTTCACCTCTGTATTTTGTGCTTAAGCCATGGTATGCATCTTGAGATATAACGTTTGTTTAAATGAAAGTAAACATTTTAAAGCATTTTGCACAGTGGAAGGGTATTTTTAGCAATATGATTAAAATATTATTGTAACCTGTTAACTCATCAATGTGCCTCTGACTTTAGGGGATAACATTTAAACGTGTAGGTGTTCCTACTGCAACAGACATAATTAAAGCTTCCAGTAAAGATGCAGTGAGGTATGTTCATTTTTGTTTACACTTGAAATTAAGTTCCAATGTTAATGTGTGTCATTTTATCGTTGCAAAAATTCCAGTTCTGGGGTTCGTGTTTATTGTTTTTCTTGATTGTCAGTGGTTGACATCCTGTTACTGTACCTGGCTCTGTGTGTGCAGTGGTGATTATGTCATTATCAGTGGCAAATCACAGCTGATTAAAGGCAAATTGCTACCTATTAAAGACAGTTTGGGAGTGCATGCATGCAGCTTACACAATGCATGAAATCATGTGCTACCTGAAATCCCAAAAGGGAACCTTTAATCCGCAGCTGTTTGCTGTTTGGTGATGGCATTATCACCATTGTGCATACTGAACTGGGCAACAGGATGTTAGCCAACATGTTAATGTGTATTGTTATGCCTATGTACTTTTATAAGGTTTTATGTGTATTACAAAAAGCAGTGATTTGCTGTAGACATAAAGGCATACACTGTCATTGAAATTAACATCCCAAATAATATCATGGTATTCTATCTTGAGTGGCATCTTGACAGTAGAAATACAATCAGTTTAGAACATTAAATAATACATTAAAATTTCATTAGCAACATTGAAAATTCTCTGCATATGACAGCAAATGATGCATTTTAAAAATACATGTAGCCCTTGTTTAGTCGTTCCTTGTATAGATACACTTGTCATGCTTAGAGGAGAGTGTATAGCCCTTTCCCTCTCTGTTGTTGCTTTTACCATGTGGAAATCAGCACATCTGTTGAGAGGACATTTGTACATGAGTGTGAACTTTACATATAAGCAAGAACCCTGATTTTCAAGTGCTTTCTATATGGCAAAACTTGACAGTGGAGGGGATGAGGGTCTAGGTGCTTTCCTCTTAGTGTGAGGAGTCTATCCATATGAGGGGAGTAGTTCTAGGGCCTTAGTAGTATTTGGGTGCAGTTTAGCAGTTTTGTCTGCAGCATTCTGACTAGAATGTTGGCAATAGAGATTTAGGAATATCCACTTAAGTTAATCCACAGCATCCACTACATGTAATAATTTTAAGTGTTTCATAAAAGTTTTCAACCATGCATGTACCCCACAAAGAATATTTCTTAGCAATGACTTACAAAAGATTCAGTTTAGTTGTCTTCTTTTCAACTGTTCTCAAGGAAAACTAACTTTGTTGTGTATTGTGGTTAAGAAAATCTCTTTTGGGAATGTAATGAGTCTTTGGTCAGCTGGGAAAAGTAAGTGGGTTTCTATTGATTTGATCTGAACTTTTTTCCTGAATGATAATCCTAGCATTCCAGAGCTATAATCTTAATTCTCCCTGGGAATAATTTTAGTAAGTGTTCTTTGGATAGCTACTTAAGTGTACAGTGGTGCCTCGTTTGACGACGTTAATTCGTTCCAGCGAAATCGATGTAGAGCGAAAATGTCGTCAAATGAAATAAAAAAGCCCATTGAAACACATTGAAAACCGCTCAGTGTGTTCCAGTGGGCTGAATACCTGCTCGTCCAGCGAAGATCCTCCATAGGGCGGCCATTTTCGGTACCTGTAAAGTGAGGAATCCGTCCTAGAAAACAGCGAGGGGGGGCATTTTCTTCAGCAGGCAGCTATTTTGAAACCCGACGATCAGCTGTTTGTCGTAAAGCGAAAATCGGTTCCTGAAGCAGGGAACCAATCATCGCCAAGTAAAATTCCCCCATTTAAACCATCGTTTTGCGATCACAAAAACCTCATCGTAAAGCGATTTCCTCGTTAAGCGAGGCAGTCATTGAGCAGGGCACGACTGTATAAAGTTTTTTTTCTTAGTTCTACAGTTGTAAAATAGACACTCCTATTGTTGTGACTTTGTGCACACTAAGATCTAGTATTTTTATTCAGGTCTTTGGATGCTGTTCCTCCATCTGCCATTGATTACTTCAGAAAGTCTGCTGAACAACTGATAGAGGAGAAAGGAGCAGTGGAAGCTCTGGCAGCAGCATTGGCTCACATTTCAGGAGCCACTTCCATTGAGCAGCGTTCTTTACTTAATTCTGATGCGGTAAATACAGGATTTAAACGGGTCTTTACGAGTATCATAACTTTTCTAAACATGCCTAGAAGGCTTCTGTGCAGTTTGCATGATCATCAAGGAAACCGACACATTGTTTTTCTCATGATTTGAATGTGTATCTACTAATATAGTTTCCTAAAGGGCCAGCATAGCTACAACAATTTGACCACAATTAAGAAATAACAAACATAAGAAGCAGTGTGATGGATTAGATCAAAGGCCTGTCACATCCAGCATTTTATCTTTTCTGTTACACTTGATAGTATGCACCCTTTGGAAGCAAATTATCTTCCCTGCCCCCATTAATGGGTATTAAGCATGATTTCAGTGCTAGGAATAACTTGCTAAAGCTAATCTGTTTAAGAATGTGCCTCTGCTAGCATAAGGTGCTTTATAGAAATGGATTATCAAACTAGCCTGCCACTGAGAAACTATTACAGAATATTAGATACATTTGGATTTTATTAAGCATAAACATTCAGCTGAGAAAGAGTTATTACTGCATGATACTTTTTTCTGATGTCGCTGACAGCTCAGGTGTCTCTGGGTTTGAATCTACTATATGTTGGGGTATCCTCATGTTCTAATTCCCAAACCTTTATTGGATGATATAATTGTGTCCCTGCTATAAGTAGTAGACTCCAAAACAAGAAGAAATTTTTGTGTACTCTAGGCTCTAAAATGAGAAGAAAATGTTGTCTACTCTTCTGTAGCTTGTATTTAGAAATGGATCTAATCAGTGACTTTATTGTCTTCCATTATATGTCAGAAACAACATTTTACAGGTTTTTGCTGGAAAATGGTCCAGTGTTTCTTTGTAAAAATATGTTGAGTACCACCCATATATCACTTTTTCCTGAATATGTATAATTCCTTGCTTTTGTTCAGGGTTATGTGACCATGGTACTTCAGTGCTCAACAGAAATGCACACTATTGGCTATGCTTGGCGAGGTCTGAAAGAGCAGCTGGGTGAGGACATTGACAACAAAGTTTACAGAATGCGTTTTCTTAAAGGGAAGACGGTAAGAAAGATTGTCATTGCATTTTGTAGCTATTATTGTTAGCTGTATCAGTCCCTATCACAGTCCACATATCGTATGGGTATCTAATTGACTCTCCCACCAATACTAGCTGACTCCTGACTGACCCTGCCTTTTTTAGCAGACCGGCTGACCATAGACACAGTTTGATTGGTTAAACATGCTATGTGCAAATGTCGCTATTTATTTGGTGTTTTATGGGATTAGCGTTTCCTATTTATGTAATCTGATAATATAAAGAGTACAGATTTTGGGTTTTATGTATTGTTTAAGAAAGCTTTGGATCTCTTTGGGGAAGTACAGGTAATGGCACTGCAAATAATTGCCAGTTGTTTAGCTCTCCTACTTTTCCAGTATAGTCAAGAGAAACATAGGACAGCTATGAATTAGAAGCTACATGGTTTTGTATAGTTTAATGTTCAAAAGTAAAGGTAGCTATTTGAGTCTGTAGTTTGAAAGAGAAGTTTTTATTTTGGGTAGATTATGCAATTTAACAAATTTACTGCTGATTTTCATCACTTGTCATGAGCATGTCCTAGATTTAGTCATCCTTTTGCATTTTACTTGTGATCCAGTATTATAACAAGGCAAACTGGACTGTAAAGTAATTCATTCAGCATTCACTGGGACTAGTTCCCTTGGCCTGACTCTTTTGAATAGCCAAAATCCTCATTTGTAAATTACAGTGGTGCCTCGTTTAACGGGCACTCCATTTAGCGACGAAACCGCATTGCGATGAACTTTTTGCGATCACAAAAGCGATCGCTTTGCAATGTTCCCTATGGGGGAATTTTGCTTTGCGATCGGTTCCCTGCTTCAGCTACCGATTCTTCGCAAAACGATGATTTTTTAACAGCTGATCAACGGTTTCAAAATGGCCACTGGGCAGACACAATGGCTGCCCGCTGTTTTCTGGGACGGATTCCTCGTTTAAGAGGCACCAGAAATGGCTGCGCTATGGAGCATCTTCACTGAACTGTGAGTTTTAAGCCCATAGGAACGTATTAATCACGTTTCAATGCGTTTCTATGAGCTTTTTCATTTCGCATTGCAATGTTTTCGTTCTGCAGCGATTTTTGCGGAACGAATTAACGTTGCAATGCAAGGCATCACTGTATACTGATAAAAGGAATGATATCACCCTCAGTGCAAAATTGGAATTAAAAGTCCATTTTTTTGGACTTCCATTCCAGGTTGCATGCTAAGCCACCTAGCTCACATTCTGTGTGCTTTTGTTTAACCAGTGAAGAATCAAACAGTAAGTTATTTAATTAGTGGCAGTCTGCCATTGTAGGTGAAATAATTTTCCTGAACTAACACAAGAGGATTTGGTTGATAAATGCAGTAGGCATATAGTGAGTGGCAAGACAGGCAATTTAAAATGCTGCTTAAATGCTTTGCTGCTTAAATACAGTGGTGCCTCGCAAGACGAATTTAATTTGTTCTGCGGTTAATGTTGCCTTGCAAAAAAATTGTCTTCTGAAACACGTTTTCCTGTAGGAATGCATTAAAATCCAATTAATCCTATGGGCAAAAACAGTCAGAACAAAGTCAAATTTGGTTTACAAAGGTTTTATTAAGTGCTCTTTAATGCCATACATATTGTGCAGATGATTTCAAAAATTTTAATCAAAAGACTTTAACTTTTTAAACATCACAGAAAAACATTTAAAAATCAGCAAACATGAGGCAGGGACAAAAAAAATGCAAAACATTCGTCTTGCGAAGCAAGGCCGTAGGAACGTCTTGTGAGTCATCAACCCCATCACCAAAACCATTTGTCTTGCGAGTTTTTTATCCAGTGAGGCATTCGTCTTGCGAGGCACCGCTGTATACAATAAGTGTGCCTTGTTTTGCAAAGACTGATTCAAATAAGTGTTTTAATAGTGATGCATCTCTTTTGTATTTAGGGTGCGTGTTTTGATATTCCTGTGGCTGAACTAAGTAAAATACAGGTGAGCTCTTGCTACTTACTAAGTTTTCACCAGTCTTTATCATCAAAATGTACTTAAATTGAGAAACCTATATCTGAGTCAGTACCAAAATCGGGAGTTTAAGTTACCGTGCAGATCTGCACTCTGAAAATCTGTCATCTGACAATTCCTGTACACTCATCCAGAACAACTTGACATAAACTCCTCTCAAAACACATGCTAGCAAGCCTCCTTTAATTCCAACAAGATTATTGGGCAGAAAAACACTAGCCGCATCCCCTCTGTCTTCTGACATACAGTATGTACAACTTTATATCAGTAGTTTGTTTTCATTCATGGCTGTACTGATTGTCATTCTTATGTGCTATGTTTCTTCCAATGTATGGCAACCCTAATGGGCTTTTTGAGATGTATGAGAAATTCAAGGACACATATACATGCTATGAGTTTACATGGCCAAGTGAGATTTGAACTCAGATCTCACTCCATCCATTCTGCTAGACTGGCTCTCATACAGATTGGGTTATACGTTAAAAATGGAACATTTGTTCTGTGCTTTTGTGGTACTTTAGCTAACTCAGGAAGCTCCACAGAATGCCAGAGTGGCCCTTAACTCTCTTTGCATTAGTAAGTGTATATGCCAACAAGCATTTTTCTTTTCTTTTACATTTCATGTACTCATTTCTTCTTCTTTTATCAATCTTTATATTCTTCCTTAGTAAAATTAATTAATTTGAAGACATGGGCATCCCTCTCCACCATGTTTCCTAAATTATTTTTCCTTAGTTATTTCTTTATTAAGATATACCACTGCTCAAACAGATGTGGTTGGACTACCACATTTTTAAGGGCAGTTTTGTGCAAGCAGTCTTCCCTCTGGCTTTGCAGAGTATGCAGTTCTTCATGTGGCAAGCAGATGCAGGGTAGTATGACAGCTGGTCATCTTGCACTGGTTCTCAACCTTGGCTTACTCAGGAGTTGTGGACTGCAACTCCCAGAAGCCTTCACCACCAACTGTGCTGGCTGGGGTTTCTGGGAGTTGCAGTTCAAAAACATCCGAGTAACAAAGGTTGGGAACCTAGGAATAAAGCAGTAAAATTGTTTGCATAGTTAGCCTTATGCAGATGCTTAAGGTAGTAGGATTCTGACCTTTGGTAATTGTCTGTCTCTCAGAGTAGTGGTAAGAAATTGCCTTTCAGTTGCCTTTCCCCTTTGGACTTCTATAAAGTGAAGCCCTCTTGGGGCCTGTATCATACTACAAATTGGCTGTTATTTTTAACTTTTCTGTTTTTAAATGTTAAAACATCTTGGGTCTTTTTTAAATGAAAAAGTGATAGAGATTATGTTGGTGGTGCTGACAGCATTGTCAAAGCAAGGCAACACTATACAAGTACAGGAATACGAAATTGTACACTGTACAAGTGCAGGAATACTAAATTGAAGGAATACTGCAATAATAATAGTAAATAGCTAATATTTACAGTAAACAGAAAGCCAGGCCAAATAAAAATACCTTTCATTGATTGCCAGAAGACAAACAGGTAAACTAATTCCCTTGGGAAGATTGTTTATTTGGTGAGATGGTACCATATCCCTTGTTACCACCAACTAGAGATGGGAGCTTTGTATTCATATCCTTGAGGACATGAATATGAAGCGTGGCAGCACAGGTGCCATGGTGGTCTGTTCCCTCTCCCCAAAACCAGCCCAGCGCATTCACCAGCTCTGTGCAGCATTCAAGAGAAAATTAGACAACCATCTTTCAAGCATATTTTGCTTTGGATTCCTGTATTAAGCAGGGGGTCGGACTTAATGGTCTTAGAGGCCCCTTCCAGCTCCATTATTCTGTGATTCTATGTTTTGCAGTTCCATTAAAAATATATTGTATACTGTTTTTGAGCTACACAGAAAAATATATTGTATATATTTTTCTGTGTAGCTCAAAAACATTCTGTGTGGCTCAAAAACAGTTATCCTTTATATTCTGTAGGGATAGTAAATCGTGTTGGCTGTAGATGAGTCATGTGAAACTTGTTTTTTATTAGCAAACCTGGCAAGACACAAGACGCTGGCAACTTTCTGTGGCAACCGAATTGCCTGAGCTTGAAGAATCACTGAATGAGGGCGGCCGCGGTGGAGGTGCTTCAGAATTCAGAAATGGACGACGAGGTGGTGGCGGCTCTGATTTCAGAAACAGAAGACGAGGTGGTGGCTCCAACAGACACGATAGATTCAGAAACAGGGGCCAAAAACGAAACTTTGACCGGGCTTTTTGATAATTTGTTAATGTCAAATATAAATGGGACTAGTTATTTGTTTTATCAGAAGTAAAGTTAATTTACACTTTCCTGTTTGCCTTTATTGCCATATTAACTTTTTTAAAAAATTCATACAGATATTACTGCCAAACTCTCATGTTAAAAAGAAACAAGAATTAAGTGTTCTGGAATATAAAGTCATAGGATTAGGCGTAAGGGCGGTTTGTCATTGCAGCTTTTTTTGTTTGCACTAACATCACAAACCAAAGCAACACCTTGTTCTAACTAAAGCTATTAGTGAAAGAGATGAGCAGACAGTGAGTTGAGAGTGTTGTATGGCAAGAATAGGGCTAAAGATTACATGCATAATTCTAAAGACATTTTTATTTCTTGCAGCTGGCCACTTAGCTGGAATTCTAGAAACTGAAATAATGTGTTAAGGAGTTAACCTAGATACACCTGACAGAAAAGAAAAAAGCAGACTTGCATGACTAGACTTCCATAGAATAACAAAAATCCAATAATTATTGAAAACATGTTAGATACATTTCAGTTATACAGAAATTAAACTTGCAGCAGTGAAAAAGCTATAGGTGCCGAAGCTTAAAAATGCATGAAGGCTGAACTTAAGTTGCAGACAATATACTTAAGTCAGAAAAATATATTCCAATTATAAGCTTTTAACTATAGGTGACAGGTAAGAACTGAATCATATTTCAGTTCCAAAATATAGGAGCCTGGAGCTTGAGCAGGTGCCCTTAAAAAGCATATTTCTTAAAATATCAGTGTTTTAAAAAGTAAAAAAAACAAAACGAAAATAAAATACATTTCTTAGCTTTTAAGCACATTGAGGTACGAAACAAAATATTTAACAGTGTTCCCGCCCAGCCAAACAAGTTGAATCCATAGAGGGAAAGCCATGATTTATTTTTATGTGTTGCCAGCTTCTGGAAATGAATCCTGCTGCTGCATGCCTAGTGCCTATGTTCGTATCTGATGAGTGTAGCATGTTTCTCTTGCATCCCTATATTTCTCTTTCTCCTATTTGTTTATTTTCCTTTCATTTGTATACAACTGGAACTTGCTGGGGTAGCAAACTGGTAGTTTATGAAAGACAACTCTTGAATTTTTTTGTAAGAATCTACATTGTTTTGCCAAGCTAGCAAACTGATGTGGCAGTTGGGTATATTGTTTATATTTTGACTTGTTCCCCAGAACACCTACTGTAGTAGCAGACAGGTTGCATAGTAATTTAGTAATTTGCTTGGGTATGCTTCTGCTTAGGTACATGTCAGGAGATTGCTGGCACATCATCTCTGTAAGACACCAATTTGCTATTTTCACATTTCAGTACTCTAGGTAGGAGGGGTTTTTTAAAAAAATCCATTATATTTTTTGTTTTAGTTCCTTACATATGTTCAGATTTGCTAGGAAAGAGATTCTTTGTGAGGCAGTGTTATTTTACATTGACCTTCCTTTTCCTGTGATGTCTTTGATGGAGAGTTAGCTAGTAGTTTTGCAGTGACTTGTAGCATTCAGCTGTTCAAAACCTCATTTATTTAAGCACCGTGAACATTATTCAAGGTTGCTTTTTTACACTCCCCTTAATTATTTCAGCATTCTATACATGCAAGATGTCAAACCTTGACGCCACTTCCCACCACAGGACCAATCCTCAACACACTATGTTGTTTTGCTTGAACTAAATTAAGTAACTTATTGCAGAAACTATTTCAGTAAAATGTTGTTTTACTCAAAAATTTATTATCTCCCCACTCTTCAGTCTTCTCAGATATTACCTTCCTTCTACTCAGCCAGTCTAAACCAATCTTACTAACATTCCATGCTCCACACTCAGCCTGTCCTGTCACATGCGCACTCTCCTTATAAACTCTACAATAATTATGTCACCAACTTTACATATATCAACACAATTTACACAACTAAGCACCACACAACCCTTTTTTGTAGGGCAAAGCAATAATCAAGTTAATGGCACAGTCATGTTTATTTTGGTATTACCAACCATCCAATGCTGTTACATTAATTGGGGTGAATAACAGCATTGGATGATTTGTAACATAAAAATAAAAATGGTAACTGGTGTGCTAAATTTTAATACATTTCTTCTAAGCCCTGGAAGATAACATTAATGCTTATATTCATATATTCCTTAATTTGTAAAGGCTAGTCCTGTTTGTCTTCACATATGTTTTGCTGCAGCTAATTCATATGGTACTAACAAGCATCTTGTCTGCCTAGTCCCCTACCCAGTTCCACAATTGAGGTATCCTAGTACCTCAGCAGTTACCAACAATTAAATGTGGTAGGTTGTGTACTTACATAAACACAGTAAGATTTTGGACAAAATGCTTTTACCCTAGGCTGCTTCCAATGCACAGCTAAAAAATGACTTCATTACTATCACCAAAGGTAATACTGCAGAAATAGAGTAGGTTTGAGAGATTCTGAACTGTTACATGGAAGGGCAGGGCAGGAAGCAGCATTCAGTTTTTGTGCTCAGATTTCTACGTGCAGAATTAACTATTTTTCCGTGTATAAGATGCCCCTCTGTATTAACCCCACACACACACTTTTCTAACCCCAAATTAAGAAATCTAAGCGGGGCTTAGCAAGTGGAGGGGGAAGGCAGGGATCAAAGCGCTTTCCCACTGTATTTTCTTCACAAGAAAGTGGATGGGGAAAGCAGGAATCATCAAACCCCTCCACTTGCAAAAAAAGTGGAGGGAGAAAGTAGGGATCAAAGCGTTTTGATTCCTTTGCCCTCCTTCCATGTATAAGGCAACCCTCAATTTTTAATCTAAAGATTTTAGACAAAAGTATATTATACAGGGAAAAATATGGTACTTTTGAGAGTATGTTCCTCTTGAGCCAGGCTTTACTAGTGGGCCATGGGCATCTGGTTAAAAACAAAAGTAGATTCCACAGGCTTGGTCTGCCCATCACTTCTTTATACCACCTGAAGTCGCTGAGTCTTCCACACATATTTACATATTCTAGTTTTCTTTCTTTTTAAAAAACTAGTGATACCAGTAACAGTTTTAAAGAGAGCGGAATACTTCTGTCATGAGTTCTTAGTTTTACAATATTAGCCCCTTTCAGACTCCAGCCCTGACCTTTTTATACACATCACATTATTGCAATACAAAGGAACACTTGGTGTGGAGATCCTAGTTACAAAATTTAAAAACACTGCATTTTACAAAATCAGGCAGTTGCCCTTAGCTTGCAGCTAATAGGGCTTTAAAAACTATTTTACAAGAAATTGCTGTAGCTGAGTTTTAATACATACACCTTTGCTATAATAAGTTGAGAGCTTTTTTCCTCCACATAACACTGTACAGTATCTTACCACCTTTCAAGTCATCCACCAGGTATAGCCACCATACATAAACATAGCTGCAAACATACACCTTGGTCACCCATCCAGTCAGCTAAACAATCTCAACACTGGCAGTTAACTACATCCTGAGATGGCTTTTAACTTTCACTTTTGAAACCAAATACATTAAAAAAGCAAAAGACACCCTCTAGTTTCCCTCCTCTAGTTCTCTAGTCAGCCAAGGACTCTTAACAATTGTAGCCTAACCTACAATCAACAAAGCAAGTCAAAATAATTCTTCCAAATCAGCAAGATTTGTGGAAAATTGCTTCTGGGAAGCATTCCAAGGCCTTGAAGTACAGTATGGAAAAAGAACATTCAGCAATCAGGATTCCCATTCCACTGCCTCTAATTCAGACAATGAGTTGTCAGGAAACTTCATATACAGGTTACCTCCCCAGAATCGAAAGTGGGAGATGTCAGTCTTCCGATCTAATGCTAAGAATGGCAAAGTCCCATTAGTTAGAGGTTCATCCTCCAGCACCACAATTCAAAAGCATCAATTCTTCGGCGGTCTGCTTTCTTTATGGTCCAGCTCTCACTTCCATACATCACGACAGGTTACCTCCCCAGAATAGAAAGTGGGAGATGTCAGTCTTCCGATCTAATGCTAAGAATGGCAAAGTCCCATTAGTTAGAGGTTCAATGCCCCCTCACCCAAATTTGATCCTCTTTATGATTAGATAAACAAGGATGCTGCCACTCCTGTCTACATCAACATGTAGACAACACGCCTTTGCTTGATGTGGTCAAGGAAGAAACTGTCTACTTCATAATCCACCTTTAAACACTTGGAAAATCTATTTCTTCTTTGGCAACTACAACCAAATCCAGTCATTATGGAGCCTTTGCATACTAAGATAACGTGCCCTGCAGTGTGTGTGTGTGTGGGGGGGGTGTTGGCACATTTGGAGAGGACCTCAGACTGGAAACTACCCCATATTTTTTTGTGGTTGGGGATGGAAAATAGTGTTTTTAACTGTTAGCCGCCCAGAGTAGTTCTTCGGTACTGTTTCCTATTGTGTTTTACAAAGGTTTTAAAAAAAGGTTGAGAATGGCTGGTCTAAATAAAGGTACTGTATCGCCTCTTACATTCGTGGGAAGGATTTTAAAGCTCCTTCATGTATAGTGGACCTCCATCTTGATGATAAGCTTTTAAAGAGGCATCTTCACAAGTTTTCACGGGACGCGACAACGGCGTCTCGCGCGATTCCTTGGCCTTTTGAGGCCAAGTCCTCCAAAGACTCAAGAGTTCCAGTTCCTATCGTCCTTGCCAACGGCAAGGAATGATGGGAGCTGTAGTCCCAACAGCATTCCTGAGACACATCCTCTCCTCGCCCTGCCTCTTCGTTCTGTATTGCAGTTTCCTTCCATCCTGTTGCCGCTTCTCGTTCCCTTCGTCGTGACTCCATTTTAACTGTGGGAAAAGAAGCCCCGGGCGCCGACGCGAGGCTGGCAGAAGGTGGGGAAGGGTGGCTCCGCGCGTCTCCTCGGCCCGCGCCTGCGCAGTACTTTAAGGGCGTCCCGAAGGCGGGCGCCGACCGGGTCCGCTGGCCGGAGAGAAGATGGCGACCCCGGCCGAGTGGGCTTCGCTGTGCGAGAAGTTTCGCAGCGCCGTCAACCTCTCTTACGTGGAGGCCAAGAAGGACCCCGAGACGGAGCCCTATCGCTCCAAGTACATTGCCCGGGAGCTGCTCGAAGGCATCAAACAGCTTCTGGGCTCCGAGGAGGCCGGCGAGGCCGAGGAAACCCCGGGCTCCGAGGAAGGCGGCGGCGGCGAGCAGGGCGACGCCCGAGAGCGGCAGCGCGCCGTCCAGCTGGCCGTGGTCGAGTACGAGCTGGGGGTGAACCACACCGACACCCAGGAGCGCTCCGCCGGCGAGGAGCACCTGCTGAAGTGCCTCCGGCTGCTGGAGCGTCACCGGCTCTCCCGAGAGGCCGTCTCCCTCTACATCCAGGCCCAGGTGCGGAAAGGCCTTTCTCGGCCGGAAAGCCTCCCCCTCCCGGAGGGCTAGGGAAGCTCTTTCGGAAGACTTGGGGAGGGGGCGGCCTTCCCGGTCCCCAGCGGAGGTGTGTGTGTAGAGAGAGGGGGGGCGGTGGTGGTAAGAGCTGTAGCCCATACCACAGGGTGTGGGGAGCGTCACCGGCTCTCCCGAGAGGCCGTCTCCCTCTACATCCAGGCCCAGGTGCGGAAAGGCCTTTCTCAGCCGGAAAGCCTCCCCCACCCCCGGGAGGGCAAGGGAAGCTCTTTCGGAAGCCTTGGGGAGGGGGCGGCCTTCCCGGTCCCGAGCGCAGGAGATATGTGTGTGTGTGTGTGTGTGTGTGTGTAGAGAGAGGGGGGCGGTGGTGGTAAGAGCTATAGCCCCTACCACAGGGTGTGGCGCTACACACACAGACACACACACACAGACACACACACACGTCCCGTGCTCAGACCGAAGCCGTCCCTTGATCTCGGTGCCTGTCCTCTCTGTAGGGGTGGCGGGAGTTCGCAAGCCTCCGGAGGGCAAGAGGGGAAGGGTGCCTCGCTTTGAGGAAAGAGACAAACAAGTGGGCGCTAGCTTGGCTGCGTGACAAACTGCATGCTGTGGTTAAGGCTTCCTGCCCGTTGAAAGGTTTTTTGTGGGATTTTGGGCCCTGAAAGGGTTTAGGGAAAGATAATGTTGTGGGTAGCGCAGCAGTTGGTTACTTTACTGCCCTGTAATTTTTTTTTTCCCCAGGAAGGTCATAAAACAGACTAATCGAAGTCTGTCGAAACAGACGTGCCCATGGAACAATGAAAACAAGCTTATTCTGTCGGCAAGCTAGTTGAAATCCTAATATTTATGTGAAGGCCTAGGCCAGTGGAAGCAAACCTTTTTTGGCTCGAGTGCCCAAAATGAGGCGGTGGGGAAGAAACCAGTGGCTGCCATGCGGACCAGAACAGGAAGTGGCAGTTTAGGGGGTATCATGGGGACGGACAGGAAGTTAAAGGGGGAATCATGGGGACAGATAGGAAATTAAAGGGGGAATAATGGGGATGGACAGGAAGTTAAAGGGCCCAGAACAGGAAGAGAAAGGGGGAATCCCAGCTGCAGCCATTTCAAAAGGATTGCTGCATGCCAGAGGAAAGGGCTTCACGTGCCAGCTGTGGCACACGTGCCATAGGTTCGCCATCACTGGACTAGGCCCTCCATGGGCAAGGGGATGTGGTGTTGGTTGTCACTATGCAGGAGAACAGTGGGTGCATTTAAATGGAAGGTGATTAGTTGAGCTTGTGGTTTGCGAACAATCTGTGGAACAATTGTTTATAAGACAGTGATGTTTTGAACAGGAGAACTGGCAAATAATATGTTCATATGCTTTCAGGTTTGATGAATGTGCAGTGGAAGCTGTGCAGTGCAGCAATTGCTTAAGCAGTTTGTGGATATTCCCCAGCCCCATATGGTTCCTCTTCACAGACTTTGATGGTGTGACATCAGGCTAGGCAACAGAGCAGTACAGCCCTGTTAATTTGCTCCTGAGGTTATTGGTCTGCAAAACATTTTCTTTGCTTGCTCTCCTTAAGAGTAAAAAGCAGATAGGCAAGACATTTTGTTCGCCTCTTGCCATTTTGCTTAGTCTCTGTGCGTAGTGTGCCATCAGTGGTTTTGCCCCCTATACATTTAGCACAGTGTGGTGCATTGGATAGAAGGATAGATTAGGATTCTAGAGAACAGGGTTGATATCCCTACTTGACCATGGAAACTTACTGGGGGAATGGAAATAGTAAAACAACTCCTTAAATATCTCATTTACCTTGATAGCCCTTAGAGTCGCTATAAGTCTGTTCTGACTTGATAGCACAGAACACACAAACATCTAGCACAGACTGATGACAACAGGATAGGAACATCAACACTGTCCCTCTGGCACTATCCCTCCATGTTTTTATTCTGGATGTGCTGCTTATGTGCTCTACAAGCAGATGGCTGGCATTCTTCTTGTGCACTTCTTGTATTACATATTTCAGAGCTCTTCTCTGAAAGTCACTTCAGTGAGTGTGGATTTCGTCATTTTTTTGTGATAGCTTTAAAACTAACAATTTCATCTGCTCTTATTTTATAGAATAATCTAGGCATCCTGTGGTCAGAAAGAGATGACATTGAAACAGCACAAACTTACCTGGAATCTGCAGAGGCTTTATATAATCAGTACATGAAAGAGGTAATTTGGAGAGTGAATTTGCTCTTTGTTTCTGCAAGTATGTCTTGGACGCCGCTGTAGTCAAAACTGCAAATATTTCCAAGCATGAAATAATAGACATATTTTCTGGGCACATTGTTTTGGGGCTTTGAAGTTAATGTTTTGTTATATTCTTTTCAATGGATTGTCAATAAAAAAACTTTTAAAAAGAGAAGTTAATATCTTTGTTTTGCACTGTGAAAATAGGAGCCATTCTTTAGAAAATGAGTTGTCAGAAGTCTTTCTTTTGGATGCCATATGTTCAGAAATTGCTGATAATTAATGCTAACTAGAAAGTCAGTAAGGCCTTTGACAAAGTTCCCCATGATATTCTTGCAAGGAAGCTAGTAAAATCTGGGCTAGACAGTGCTACTGTTCAGTGGATTTGTAATTGGTTGACTGACCGAACCCAAAGGGTGCCCACCAGTGGCTTCTCTTCATCCTGGAGAGAGGTAACTAATGGGGTGCCTCTGGGTCCTGTTCTGGCCCCTCTGCTAGTCAACATCTTTATCAATGATTTGGATGAAAGAATAGAGAGTATGCTGATTAAATTTGCAGATGATATCAAATTGGGAGGGGTTGCTAATTTTCCAGGGGACAGGATTAAAATTCAAAATGACCTTGACAGATTAGAGTCCTGGGCCAAAACTAACAAAATGAATTTCAACAGGGAGAAATGTAAGGTCCTACACCTAGGCAGGAAAAAAAATGAACTGCACAGATATAGGATGGAAGACACCTGGCTAGACAACAGTACCTGTGAAAGGGATCTAGGAGTCTTCGTAGACCACAAACTGAACATGAGTGAGCAGTGTGATGCAGCTGCCAAGAAAGCCAATGAAATTCTTGGTTGCATCAATCGGAGTACTGTATAGTGTCTAGATCAAGGGAAGTGAACGTACCACCCTATTCTGCTTTGGTCAGACCTCACCTGAAGTATTGTGTTCAGTTCTGGGCACCTCAATTCAAGAAGGATGTTGACAACCTGGAACGTGTCCAGAGGAGGGCGACCAAAATGGTCAAAGGTCTGGAACCCATGTCCTATGAGGAGCAGGTTAGGGAGCTGGGAATGTTTAGCCTTACAAAAAGAAGATTAAGAGGGGACATGATAGCCATGTCTAAATAATTGATGCCATGTTGAGGAAGGGACAGGTTTGTTTTCCATGCGTCCAGACAAGGAGTAATGGCTTCAAACTACAGGAAAAGAGATTCTACCTGAATCTCAGGGAGAACTTCCTGACAGGCAGAGCTGGTCAGCAGTGGAATATGCTGCCTCAGAGTGTGGTGGAGTCTCTTTCTATGGAGGTTTTAAAACAGAGGCTGGATGGCCATCTGTCGGGAGTGCTTTGATGGAGTTCCTGCATGACAGGTGGTTGGATTCGATGGCCCCTGTGGTCTCTTCCAACTCTGTGATTCTATGATTCTAGAGTTATTTTTGAACAACTTTAAAGATGTCTAGTGTTTAAGCAAAGTATGCAGTGCAAGTAGTTAATTATAATATTTGTATCAGAATAAAATGTAAGTGTACTTAGTAAATGCATAAAACTCCTATGAAGCAATTCTGTGACACTTTAGTTGTCACATAATACTTGCAGTGAAATACTTTTTAAAACCTTTGTTTTCATGGTTTTATGGCTGTGATGCTGCATTAGTTTTTAAAAAATACTTTCTATCAAGAGGGCTTATAATAAGCTAAACTCTTTATGCATAACAAGCAACCTTGTAAGTTGTTGACTCTGTGGTGCCATAACATTAGCACAATGGGGCCTTTGTCAAATCCTCTAAAGCACTGTTTGTACACAGAATTGCCTCAGGACACTTTTAAATCCACTGACATGTCCATTTTGAAAACACTGGAATGCTGTACTTTGGCAAATCCAGAAATGTGATGCTGAAAATATTTCAACTGCTGTATGCGAATGATGGCCTGGTTTTATTTAACAGAATTTTCCTTAGAATAATGTTGGTCTAAGAGAGAGCCTTGGAGAATCAGGCTAACCCATCTCTAGGATAAAATATCCTACTTCTAGAAATGCGTGCAGTCCTGTTTGGCCATATCTGATTCAAATCCAGCTCCCCTAGTTCCTCAAGGTTAAAGTTTCTAAAACATTAGATTGAAATACTTCTTAATACTCTTAATATATATATTTAAAATATCTTAACATGCCCCTTATTCTAACTTATTTCTGGATTCCATAGAATACATACAATGGCTAAAATCCTGTTTCCATAAGTTACAATTTATGAGGCTGGTGATGTCATCAACCACAGTGATTTTTCAGAAATTAAACATTGCCACTTTCTCCCCTGAAGGTTCTAAGGCTCTCGCGGAGTCACTTTCATCATTGGGAAGGATTGGGGGCCATAGGGTAGGAGAGGGAAGTCTTTAATTACTGAAAATTGCTGCCACTGATCAGTTTGCTTCTCAATGTTGAAAGTGCATCCTCAGAAACTTCAGGGGAACTATTGGAAATGTTTAATTTAAAAAAATGGCTATGGCTGATAATGTCATTAGCATATGGTGTAGTTTACACAGGATTATTTCAGCCATAACATAACATGTCAATTTTCGTAGTGTAGTAAGAAACAAGCAGAAATAAATAACCAAGGAGAATGGAAGTAATGAAGCTTAAGATGTATAAAAGTGTCTTCACCTGGTGTTAAAAAGTTTATAGTGTCAATGCCAGTTATACTACTACAGGAAGCATATTCCAAATTCAAGAGGTCACTGTGGATGTTGAGATGTCACATCTCCCTTATGCAAACATAATGGACCTTGCCAGCTGATGATATTTGGAAAATTTTCTCACCCGAAGATCTGAATGTGTGGGTAGGATACTATGTGTGGAGGATTGGAGTTCTTGAAAAGCTGAATAATCTCATAGGTTCTTGCAGAAGTATTAACTGACAGATTCAAATTGGGAAGATTACCACAGGGCAGCCCATCCCATCATTAATTAACATGTTATATTATTTTTATTTCCTTTTTTGATGCGCATAGAATATGAAAATTTGATACAAATCAAGTGACAGCTTGATAGATTTATTATAGAAATCTGTATACTTCATGCTTTTAAATTATTTATTTATTTGATTTATACCCTGCCCATCTGGTCTAAAAGACCACTCTATGCGGCTTATTCAATTATTCAAGAGATGTTTGAACTGATGAGTGTATCTTGATGTTTACTGATGTTGAAAATGTTGCTGATAAATGGAGTATTTTTGTTGATAGATCCTGCTTACCTTTGTATGACATGCTGAATATATAAGCCAAAGTCCTGATGCTTAGCATTGTTAATTGTGCTAGACTAGGCCCAATGAATCAGTCGGGGTTTGGTGTGTCAACACCTGTGTAATTTATGTTGATTCCAATAGTACTGCTCTAACTGCTACTTGCTTTAGCATAATAAGTCATAGTTAATGTCTATTTGAATTAGTGTAATTTATGGTAATAGCTCACTTAATTCCCATTGATTTGATAGGCCTACTCTAGTGCAGTTTACTATGCTAAGCAACAGGATATTGACCAGTGGATCTGTCTAGCTACAACTGGTCCTGCCCTTATTGTCAAATAATGCATGAGTCTTTATTTCTCTCATACTACTGTTGCTGAAATAGTATTTAATTTATCACCCTCTCACTGTTATAGTTATAACTATAGTTAATTTATCACCCTCTCACCAACTTATAGTTCTGCTAATTCCAACATAAATGTTTGGATGAAATTTTTTCAAGAATATAGGCCTAAGGGTACCTAAGAACTGATTCTGTTATACAGTAGGGAAAGATGCTGGAGATATTGAGAGAAGACATGAGAGCCAGCTAAATTGGACATCTGACACTTGGATGTTTTGTGCAATAAGAACATTTTAGGACTTTTAAGGTGCTTCTTTGTATCTGGGGTGGGGAACAAATAGCTTACCAGATGTTTTTGGTTACAGCTCTTATCACGTCAATCATTGGCAATGTTCTGTGGAGCTAATGGGAGACGAAGTCTAACCTTGTATGGAGGAGCACAAATTCCCCACCCCTGCTTTTAGCCTTACAGTCTGCGCAGTGTCAGAGTGCTGCCAAAATAGAGAGTACAAATAATAGGGTATGCATTATCTCCAACCTACCTTATATTTTGCAGAATGGGAACCCTCCACTTGATTCCAGTGAACACTTTATGGCTGAAGAAGAGAGACTTACTGACCAAGAAAGATCAAAAAGGTGTGTGTTGTCTAAAGCAGAAATTTGAGAGCAATGGAGGAAGATCTGCCATAAAATTAAATCTAACCCCCCTGTTTCCCCAGATTTGAGAAAGTCTTTACTCATACGCTATATTATTTGGCCCAAGTCTACCAGCATCTGGAAATGATTGAGAAGGCTGCACAGTATTGCCATACCACACTCAAACGGCAGCTTGAGTATAGTGGCTACCATCCAGTAGAATGGGCTCTCAATGCAGCTACTTTGTCTCAATATTATCTCACAAAGGTAATCGTTTCAGCGTTCTCTTCTATGTTTCTTAATTTGTAGACGGTCCAGTAGTCTTGCTGTTCCAGCAGCTTAAAAATATTATCACAAAACCTGTGGTGTAACATTACTGTTGTGTTGAATCAGCCAGGGATCCGGAACTTGCATCTCTGTAAATGTAGATGAAATTCTACTTCCATCATCCCTCATGATTTGGCAGGTTAACTGGGTTTGTTTGGAACTGGAATCCAAGAACATCTGGAGGGTCATAGGCTTTCCTGCCCTGTTCTAGAATAGGTTGCTTAAACTTGGGCCCCACTGAAAACAGCTAAACTTAGGTACAAATTCCATTGTCTGGTTCATTATCAAATAGCTTGGCTCTAAACTTTGCCTTCCCCGAATGGAAGGGCTGACCATATACAGCTATTGATATAATGAAGCATTTCCACTGCTGGAGTGGATGCTTTTTTGGGGGTGGGGGAGGAACAGAACCAAACAAAAAACAACCTCCTGCTGTGCTTAAAATATGCTCCAAAATGTTGGCAGATCTTCTGGAACAGCAGATCTTCTGGAAGTGGTTAATGGAGAGGATGGGAGAAGTTGGTGATCACTCAGACTCTAGGTTCAAGCTATTTTCAGTTTCTAAAGGAGAGTTGCTTACCATGATTATCAGTCTGCAGGTCTTTGCATGTAAGCAGGTGGGTTTTAAGAATAAGTGCTCAGTGTGAAAGTGATCTCAATGTAGAGACTTGCAGTATCTTATGCTTGGAATAATATATCCTTGGTTTTACCAGCTAAAATGTTTGGCCAGTATAGTGAGAGGAATTTGAGGCATGTGTAGTGATCCATTGTACTTCCTAGCTAAGTATTTGGTGAATGCAAACAAATTCATATACCTAGCATTCCTCCACTTGCCCACAACTGATTCACTACAGGTGATCATGAACTACAGGTGAAATAGCAACCACTGTTCCTGAGACAGCTTTATAGTGTAAATGAAAACAAGCTGCTTTTCAAAATGATTTTTCTAAATTTTTCATTTTAAGATCTCTATAGTTTGAGAGCATACACAATTTTTAGTTATCAGCTTTGACTTCCTCTATCTTTGCTATAGAAGTAGCATTATTTTGTGGTATATTAACACAGTTTGGATTAATAACCCTATGTATAAATGACATAGAGGAAATGTTTGCATTCTGAAATCTCTGAAGTGCTGCAGAAGTTAAACAAATGAAGTATTTCTGTCTTCATAACGAGGGACAATTTAGCATTGGTTTTGTTCCACATGGTCCTTTGGAGTATTCATTACCAGACTACCAAGAGATCTCAGTGGTTAGAACATTTTTTAGCTGTATAATAGGAATGGATATGCAGTTACTTATGTTATATCAGCAGGTCATCAAACAAGAGTCTAAAACTGTAGGCTGAGAAAGCACTGCCTTAGAAAGAGTCCTTAAATTTCAGGAAATAAGCTTATTGCAGCCTTCCATCAAAAGGAACATCCCCAATTTTCAGTCCTGCGCATTCGCTTAGGAGTGAGATCTGTTAGCAGACAAAGGGATTTGAATTAATGTCAATATAGAATTACACTGTGAGCAGTAATGACACTAACAATGTTTAGGAAAAAAAAGAGCAAGTGTCAGATTTCAACTGAAGAGCATGGGAACAATTTAGCTATGATGGTTGAATTTTCATCGGGGAACATCTATGTTTTTTTTTAAGTTTGTTGTTAGTTTATGTCTCTGGATCCTTCCGTAACCATGCATCCCAGTATCCAGTTTCAATTTTATATTTAATTTGTATTTCACCTTTCTCCCAGTGCACAACCCAGGGTAGCTCACAATGTGAATTCAAACAGATACGACTAAACATTCAGTTATATATATTTAAAACAATAGCTCACAAACAGCAAAGTTACCATGTTAAGAACAATCACGAAATTAAAATAATTTAATACCAATTTAAGCACAAGAGAGCGAGAGAAATGCAACACTGACTACTAAAAGATCCTCCCACAATAGCTTGTTTAAATAAAAGGGAGAAGGAGAAAGGGGTGGTGGTGGTCGTTTTCTCTCAGAAAGGAGTCCCATAGCCCGGGAGCAGCCCCCAAGAAGGCCCTGTCTCCTGTCGTCACCAAGCATGGCGATGTGGCTGGCAGGATGAGAGAGAGGCTTCTCTTAAGAATCTCAAGATTTAGGCAGTCTTAACATGGGAAGATACACAGTTCTACATGTCGTCTGAGCTTAAGCTCTGTAAGGTTTCATAGGTTGTAACCAGCATTTTCAATTGTGACCACTTTCTCATTGAGTGTGATCTATTAGGTAGTTATATGTCAGAAACAACTGTTACTGTGTGTTCTCCCCACAGCAATGTTTCATGGAATCCCGGCATTGTTTAGCTGCTGCCAATGTCATCTTTAGCCAAGCTGGACAGGTACCATCTGCAGAAGATAGTAAGTTATTCTATTCCATGCCGAACTGTTGTGACTTTGCATTCAGTGTGCCAGAGCCTTAGTTCTCTCTGTCAAGTTGGAATGTATGAAGGTTGGAATGAGCAAGTAAACATTTTTGCTTCCCGTGTGCCTCGTGCATCTGCTGTGAGCAGCCAGAACTTCAAGTGATAGCAGCAGCAGGCAGCCAAGGAAGCTTCAGCCTGTGAGAGATTAATACCTGGCTGCTACAGCTGCTGTTTCCCTTGAAATTAGTATGGCCTGGTGGTCTAAGATACAGTAGTGGCTGAAACACCAGAGAGCTGAAGGGAAAACTTGCGTGTCGTTTTGGCAGCTGCTTAGTACACAGGGTGAAAATACTGCCAAGTAAATAAGGCTGTGCTCCTTCACTAAGCCTTTCAGGCTGTTGAGGCAGAATTGGGGTTAGATCATGATAACAAGGAAATAATTTGTATTATTATTTTGAATTTACTGACAAAGAATATGTATAGAGCTCTCAAATATATTTGCTTTTGTGGAACAGCTTGTAGTGGTGGTATCTTCATACTTTCCCCTTTCTTATTTCTCAAAATTGTTAATGTCAGCAACCTATTGTAACTGTTTTGTGAAAACTATTCCAAAGTATTCCTACATGTTATTTCTCTGAAATGGAAATTTGGATGTCTCCTTCCTTTGAGGAGGAAGAGTTTTGAAGATGTTTGATCCCTATTAATGATTTGAAAATTTCAGCATCAGCATTGTAACTAACTGTTATTTTCATTCTTTGCCACCTCCTCAGATGGTTAGGGCAGTTAGCCTTTTTTCTTGGGAACGCTTTTCAAAATTCAGCTGTGAATCCCACCTAAATGCTTGTATTATTTTAAAACAGACGAAATGGAACAAGATCAACAGGATCTTCGACAGAGGAAAGCTGAAATTGCAAGGTGTTGGGTCAAGTACTGCTTGAACTTGTTGCAGGGAACCCGAAAGATGCTCGAGGTAATTAATAAATTACAATAACCATTTTTTTGAGCTTGCTGTATTAAGTGTAAGCAGTCACGTAGCTGTTAATGGTGCTGAGAGTCCAGAGAAGATATGAGGAGTAAAAACACTCATCTTAAGGGTTGCAGTCCCTTGTGACTGGCCTTCTGGAGGTTTCATGGCAGTGGTGGCCATAACCAAAGCAGTATGCGGGTTGTAATTATTTTATAAATACACTATACACAAATCTGTTCAGATGTTGACATATTTATATGCCCTGCACATCCAGACTCTTTCTTTCTCCACCCCACACTGGAACTTGGGGAGATTGCTTTCCCCCACCCCCAGAGTACTTCATGAGGAGATGTGGTGGATTGAGAGAGTCTTGGAATTCTTAAGCTATTTGTTCAATAATAAGTCAAATAAAGTTAAAAAGAAAACTATCCCAGAATAACTGGTTGAAGAATTATTGCAAGATTTTTAATATATCTCCTCCACAATGCTTTAAGCTTAGTACAGTGGTGCCTCAATTTACGAACGTCCCAACTTATGACCCTTTCGAGTTATGACCAGCTCCGACCGCAAAATTTTGCTTCTGCTTGCGACTGGAGCTTTGAGTTATGACTGGAAAAAAAAGGTGGTGGAAAAGGCAGGGAATTTAAATTACTAACCATTGGTCAGCAAAGAGGCTGCTTCTTTGTAGCTCTTTCGCCCCAACGGTTAGAGAGTGTGCGTCAGAGGAGGCTTCGGACTGCCTGGTGCAGCTTTCTGCTTCTGAGTAAGTGTATACAGGATTTTGCAGGGTGGGTTTGGGCTGAGGGAGATTTATGTTTCTGTGCTGTGTTTTTTTGGTGTGTTTTGTGTTGTTGCGCTTTCCAGCCCCAGCACGTTCTGATGGGGCTTGCTTGCTCTGTTTGTTTTTGTGTGGGGTTTTTTTTCCAGCCCCAGCATGTTCTGAGGGGGCTTGCTCTTTTTTTATGTGTGTTTTTTCCCCAGCCCCAGCGCGTTCTGAGGGGGCTTGCTCAGTTTTTGTGTGCGTGGGTTTTTTTCCAGCCCCAGTGGGTTCTGATGGGGCTTGCTCTGTTTGTTTTTGTGTGGGGTTTTTTTTTCCAGCCCCAGCACGTTCTGAGGGGGCTTGCTCTTTTTTTATGTGTGTGTTTTTTCGCTTGCTCTGTTTGTTTTTGTGTGGGGTTTTTTTTTCCAGCCCCAGCACGTTCTGATTTTTCCAGCCCCAGCACGTTCTGAGGGGGCTTGCTCTTTTTTTATGTGTGTGTGTTTTTCCCAGCCCCAGCACGTTCTGAGGGGACTTGCTCTGTTTTTGTGTGTGTGGGGGGTTTTCCAGCCCCAGTGCGTTCTGATGGGGCTTGCTCTGTTTGTTTTTTGTGGGGGTTTTTTTCCAGCCCCAGCACGTTCTGAGGGGGCTTGCTCTTTTTTTATGTGTGTGTGTTTTTCCCAGCCCCAGCACGTTCTGAGGGGACTTGCTCTGTTTTTGTGTGCGTGGGTTTTTTTCCCAGCCCCAGCGCGTTCCGATGGGGCTTGCTCAGTTTTTGTGTTTGTGTGGTTTTATATTCCCAGCCCCAGCGCATTCTGATGGGGCTTGCTCTGTTTGTGTGTGTGTGTGTGTGTGAGAGAGAGAGAGAGAGAGAGAGAGAGAGAGAGAGAGAGAGAGAGAGAGAGAGAGAGAGAGAGAGAGAGAGAGGGAGGTTTTTACCCCAGCGCATTCCGATGGGGCTTGCATTTTTTGTTCTGTTGTTTTTGGTGATCCCCCCTCCCCGGCTGCAACATGTTCTGATGGGGTTTGCAGTGGATTTTGTTTGTTTTGGGCGTCTGGAACGGATTAATCCCCTTCCAGTGCATTCCTATGGGAAATGGTGCTTCGACCTACGATTATTTCAAGTTACGACCATCTTCAGAAAAGGATTAAGTTCGTAAGTTGAGGCACCACTCTATGTGATTCTATTTAAACACCACCATACATGAAGTTAAGAATGCACAGAGATCATTGAGGAGCTTCCACTGTTAGAAAGTAAGGAATAAATACTGAAAAAAGAGTCTGAACAGTATATTTAAAAATAGAATGTTGAAATCAATGTTTTCTATAAAGAAAATAGCATGGGAGTAGCAGGTGGTTCCTGTAAAGATGAAAAGCTGATCAACTTCATGGTGCTTATCTTTGAACTACAATGGCAAAATATTTTACACTGGACTATTCTTGATTTAGGACAACATTGGTGAGTTGGATCCGGACAGGCAGGCGGAGCTTAAGGCCCAGCAGAAAAAAGAGGAGGATGAAAAAGAGAAGGGGCGAAAGAAGGCTGTTCTCTTTGGAACTAGTGACCTGTCTGACGCTATTTTGGCCATGGAAGAAAAAGTGAGCTGTGTGTTTCCATTAGACTTCAAAGAAGCCAGGGAAATTTTCTTAGTAGGGCAGAATTATGTCAATGAAGCGAAAGAGTTCTTCCAGGTAGATGGGTTTGTCACTGACCACATTGAAATTGTTCAGGACCATAGCGCTTTGTTCAAAGTTCTGGCTTTCTTTGAAGAAGACTATGAGAGGCGTTGCAAGATGCATAAGCGCAGGATTGATATGCTGGAGCCAATATGTGCAGAGTTAAACCCTCAGTTTTATCTGCTACTCAGTAGACAGCTTCAGTTTGAACTAGCAGAAACCTACTATGAAATGATGGATTTAAAAGTGGCAATTGGCAATAGATTAGAGGAGCTTGATTCCCACACAATTAAAAAAATCAATTCTCTTGCTCAAATGGCAATAAAATATTATGAACTCTTTTTAGATTCCCTGAGGAACCCTGATAAGGTGTTCCCTGAGGTGCTTGAGGAAGATGTTCTTCGCCCTGCAATGGTAGCCAAGTTTCACATTGCACGTCTTTATGGCAAGCTTATTACTTCAGATGGCAAGAAACAGTTGGAGAACATGCAGACTTCTTTGGAATATTACTCATTTCTCGTTGAGTACTGTGAAAAACACCCCGAAGCCGTTCAGGCCATTGAAACTGAGCTAGAACTCAGTAAAGAAATGTTTGGCCTTCTCCCAACAAGAATGGAACGGTTAAGAGCAAAGCTTTCTACCTTCACTTAAACTTTTTTTTCTCCTGTGAATTTATGCAATATTAACATCACCTCTGTCCAAAGAGGCAGCTTCCCTTATGGCATTTACCTTGTAGTATTCTGACATCCTTTGTTGTGAGCTTCCACTGTGACACATGGCGCAGAACCTGGTCCAAACAGAACACTGTCAACTGTCGTAGTTCTCCCATACTCCAGTACTGAATGCACAGTGAATGGTCAGGTGGTGCTCCTGTCTTGCTTGCTCCTTATTGACATGCGAAGCTTCCTGCCTTATTTTTCTCTTTCCAGTATGTCATGCAGCTTCTGACTATAGTGCTGTTCTCCATCTGTTTCCTCCAGCAGGGAACATTTTGAGTAGCTTGTGTTTAAACTACAATCCATCTTCACAAAACAGGATTTAGGTACTATGGAATAGGTAGCACATTAGAGTTATCCTAATGTTAAGACATTTGTTAACAGATCACTAATTTAATGGTGTTGTATTTATTTTTGTATGTTTTCCTTTTTTATCCCCTGAAAGGGAATCAGTAAATAAACATGCCTGATGATATGTTCTCTTGGCATCATTTCTTTTGTGTGTGTTCTGACTTACTTGATATTGTAGACCTGTTCAACTTCCATGCTCAGTTTGCAGTTTGAGACCCCTCGCACCATTGGGCAGGGCTACATTTACTATAAAACTAAAAAAATTAAAATTATGAACCAATAGAGAAAATCTGAATTATGTGATCTGCAGAAATCATACACATTTAGCTTGATTGCATAATTCTAGTTGTGGGAAAGATCAGAAATGTACAGGCAGGGGGCACTAAAGTCCGGTGTTTGTCTTCATCATTGGAAAGTTTTAAGTACAGCACCTCTTGTTTTATTTAAATATATCGAGGGATATAAAATGTTTATAATAAAACAAATCCGTCTTTTGAAATATCACAATATAGCTCCCAAACATTTTGAATATGACATCACATATGTCACTTAACAGATAAATTATTAAAACTCAAAGTTGGTGGAAACTGACTGTATTCGGTGTTATCTTTTCCAGTTTGTATGTGCCTGTGTAGCATTGTAAACTTACTTAGGCTTGCTGCTACTAAGTATGGTAAAAAAAAGGAGCTTCACTTAATGCTTGCATGTCCATCTGGGGTTGGGAGTCCTAGAATTCCAAACATCACACCCCATTTCAGGACAGCAGAAAATAAAGTTCAAATATAGTCAGTTTCCCCACTAACATCAGAGAAGGCAAAGAGAAGCTCAGGCGGCTTGCCCACTTCCTGTTTGTTCATACTTTCCGTCACCATACTAAAGTACCTTAATTCTTTCAATACTGTTGATGAGTGATGCTTAAAAGAGCTTAAAATCTTCATGAAAGAATAAAACCAAAACCAAATTTAACTATGACGTTGTATAATCAAGTAAGATCAACCCCACTGTAAAAAAACATTAAAATAGAGCAAACATCCAGTTTAAAACAACACAGGGCATGTTAAACATATGCCTGCCCCCCATGTGTTTTTATACCCTTCTTAACAAGAGTCTGAGTGGAAATGGATCACAAATCTGGAGGGAGTACATTCCCACAGTCCAGGAGCCACACAAGAAAAGGTGCTCTCCCATATGCTTGTTATGTGAGCCTCTGAAACCATTGATATTCTTAAGACGGCTCTCATGAAGATTTTAATGCCCAGACATGCTCATAATAAGACAGGCAGACCTATAGATAGCCAGGCCCCAAGTGGTTTTCAGTTTTAAGAGGCCATTCATTCAGTGTTCTTTAGCCATTTATTTCGTTGTTTAAAGACAAAAATCTTTGTAGATAGTAGTGTACTATCATTGCTTCCACATCCGGGATCTTCCTTCAGAAGGATGACTTAAGGCATACCCACATATATGTCCTGGAGCAGAAAGGGTCATTGTATCCAAAGTACCTTGGAATGGAGGAACAAACAAATAAGAGGGTGTGTTTCACAGATCTAGCCACAGTTCAAGAGTATTTATTTATTTATTTACAAGAATTTTTAGCCGTGCCATTACCAGTGGTCTCTGAGCGACGTACAATACTGTATTAAAACTTTTAAAACATTAAAATCATTAAAAATAGGCAATATTATAATAATATCCTATATTAAAAACAATCATTAAAATATTAGTATTAATAAATCCTGCTGCTCTTATGGCCAGCAAAAAAATACTATTTAATTAAAATGCTGGCTAAACAGAAAGGTCTTTGCCTGGCACCAAAAAGCCAACAGTGTTGGAGCCAGGCGGATCTCTATAGGGAGGACGTTCCAAAGTTGGGGGGCAGCAGCTGAGAATGCTGTATTTCGGCATGCCATCCCCCTCACCTCTTTCAGGGATGGCACCTTCAGAAGGGCCTCCTGGCCTGTTCTTAGAGGATGGACAGGCTCATATGGAAGAAGGCGGTCCTTTAGATAACCAGGTCCTAAGCCGTTTAGGGCTTTATATGTCATAGTAAGCACCTTGAATTGGGCCCGAGCAGCAACTGACAGCCAGTGTAAATTTTTCAGAACAGGTGTGAGATGAGTCCATGCAGTGGCACAACTTACCAGCCACGCAGCCTGGTCCTCTGCCAGTTGCAATTGCTGGACTGTCTTCAAAGGCTGCCTCACGTATCGCACATTGCAGTAGTCCAGTCTGGTTGTTAGCAGTGCATGTGTGACTGTTGCCAGGCTCCACTCATCCAGGTAAGGGCGAAGTTCGTATATTATCCACAGCTGTAAGAAGGGACACCTGGGCACCGAGTCCACCTGGGCTTCCAAGGTCAGACCTGGGTCAAGGATCAGCCCCAAACTGCGGAAATGCATCCAATAAATTATGACAAGTCCGGAGCATTGGACACAACCATAGGCTCTGCATCAACAGTGGAGTCCAATTCTTTGCAAATATGAGCAATTTTTCCCTCAAAGTGTGTAACAAATTTGTTACAGTGAGTCACTGAGCAGTCTGGGACCTCCACCGAACCATTAGGCTGAAGAAGGTCCCAGGCCACTTGAAATAGCTCTGCTGGACAACACGCCGAGGAAGCAATACAACTGGAGAAATGCTGACATTTTGCCGGCCATATTTCCACAGAGTAGGCCCGATAATGGGCTCTAAGCTGTGTTTAGTCATAGTTGCAGAGATATTTCCTCCACCTGCGCTCAAGCCATCTCCCCAACCGCTTCATAGCCAGAAGCTCCTCTGTGTACCATGGAGCCATATAGGCTCTGCGGGCAGGGAGAGGGTGCCTAGGTGCAATTGTGTCAACTGCCCGGGCCATCTCCTTGTACCACAAAGTGACCTGGGCTTCGACAGGAGCACCGACCGTATCAGCTGGAAACTTCCCTAGAGCATTCAGCAATCCTTCAGGATCCATAAGTCTCCAGGGGTGGATCATTTTAATTGATCCCCCACCCCTGCAGAGGGGTGTTGGACCAAGTACCCAGGGCGGCACAACTGAGATAGAGGAACTCCTCCTTTTTCTCCCACCCAGGTCTCAGTAATGCATGCCAGGTCGGCTCCCTCATCCAAAATTAAATCATGGATGAGGGTGGTCTTATTTTTTGCTGACCTGCCATTTGCCAACAGTACCATGTGGCCCAGGGGGTGGCTGATATGGTCACCTAGTACCATTTGGCTGGGAGTAGAGCTAGAAAGGGGGACAGGTGTAAGGTATCTAACCTCCTTTCTCCTACGCAAGCATGCTCTACTCCCACCGCTATATCTTCCCCTACCATATATTGTCTCGATTTTCACCAGTTAATGTGAGACACTTAGGGAAATTTAGTTGGGGCGGTGGTGTGGGAGACTGCCATCCCTAATGTTCCTTGCAATGTGAAGGTGGGGGAGTACAAATGGAGGATGGACCTCAGAATGGATAAATGTGGTGATAATGCTATCCTCTACCATATACCTGCCCTTCTCTGTTAAGGGTGCAATCTATTCACAATTTAAGAAGACAATTCTGTTCAAAGAGCATGTCACAGGAGTTTATTGAAGTGATACTTTAACTGAAAAGAGCTTGTGGGTAAATGGTAGTTGTAACAAGGAGGTGAGGCATAATTGGAGAACTTATCTGTATTTTTCTGGGTTTCTCCTAGTGCTACTTTGGTCTGTGTCCAATGCATTAAGGAATTCTTCAATCACAGGTCTCGCACCATAAGCAGACACTCTAGAATTAGAAGTCTATTCTTTGGTTGATTCGGTCTGCAATATTTTTAGAGAACTAGGCCACACCATGAGATTTTTATGCTATTTTTATTCTTCATCAGCAAACTGAAGGGTTGTCAGGCACTGAGCAATGATGGCAATGGGGCCTGCTTACTCCTCTTGGCTTCCTGTAGCAAAACTCCTTCACAACACAAAGGGCAGCTGTGCTGCAAGCAGCTGCCAAAGGCTCTGATCCACGAAACTCTGAGGAAAATGCCTGCTCTTTTTGCTCATCACTTCAAAGCAATAAATGGTTGTGCAACCCACTCAGTAACCTGTATAGAAGAAAGGATGCAGAATATACAAGGAACTACTCTTGAGGAAGCTGCAGAAATTGCAGGCAGTCCAAAGTATTGTGATCAGGTTACTGTAAGGGATCGCGTGTGTTCTGTAGAATATTGCTGTTGTTTCAGGAAGGTACTATGCTTTATGCTAGGTCAGACTATTGGAGTGTCTAGAGCAGAATTATCTGTTCTGACTCCCAGCAGTTTTCTAGCAGATGTCTTCCACATCACTTTTACGTGTTACTTTTAAAAGCAATCCAAAACTAAAATAGACTACAGCAGGATTTGTATTGCAGGCATTCAACACACACACAGTAATCTCCAAGTCACCTCTGCTTCCTTATACCAGTGGTTCTTAACCTTTTTGAAAGAAACGCCCCCTTGAGCCATTGAGGAAGTTATCATCACCCCCCTCCCTGCGGTGATGATATCTTATTTGTTTGTTTGTTTGTTTATTTAAGACACTTAAATGCAATGACCCCTGAAAACAAAATTCAATTCCAAGAAAATCAAATGCCCCCAAAAAGTAACATATAATGATTTAGATGCAAGCAAATTTTAAGAGGCAAAAAGAAATATTAAAAGGGCATAAAAACAAACCGCAATGCAGGAACAAAAAATTCCAAGACGAAAACTCTGAAACTAAATTAAGATTGGAGGAAAATATATATTCATGCACACTGTAAAAAGGCTGCAGCCATCTTCGCAGGTTTGGCTTGCTCCAGCGCCCCCCTACCGCCCCCCTTCTGCTCCAGTGCCCCCACACCGCCCCTTTTCGTTCTACCGCTCCCCTGAAAAATGAAATCGCCCCCTGGGGGGCATTATCACCCACGTTAAGAACCACTGCCTTATACAGTGGTGCCTCACTTTACGACGATAATCTGTTCCAGGAAAATCGCCGTTAAGCGAAAATATCGTAAAGTGAAATAAAAAAGCCCATTGAAACACACTGAAACCCGTTCAATGCGTTCCAATGGGGTAAAAACTCACCATCCAGCAAAGATCCTCCATACGGTGGCCATTTTCACTGCCTGTATAGCGAGGAATCTGTCCCTAAACA